GAATTACTCGCCTCAGATATAATCGAGCCCTCATCATCCCCATATAATTCACCCATTTGGATCGTGCCAAAAAAGGCTGATTCAGCTGGGAATAATCGGTGGCGTATGGTGATAGATTTTCGGAATTTAAATGAAAAGACTATTTCAGACGCCTACCCCCTTCCCCATATTGTTGATATTTTGGACCAATTGGGAGGTGCTAAATACTTCTCGGTCCTTGATCTAGCTTCTGGATTCCACCAGATCCCTATGGACGAGAGGGACAAAATGAAAACGGCTTTTTCAACCCCAAATGGTCATTATCACTTCACAAGAATGCCCTTTGGTCTTAAGAACGCACCAGCGACGTTTCAGCGTCTTATGGACCAGGTACTCACTGGACTCCAAGGTGCAGACCTTTTCGTATATCTCGATGATATTGTAGTTTACGCATCATCCCTTCAAGATCATGAGAGAAAACTCATCAAATTGATGGGGAGACTTCGAACAAGTAGATTGACCTTGCAAATAGATAAATGCAGATTTTTACAAACTAGCGTGACATATCTAGGTCATATTGTGAGTGACAAAGGAGTTACTCCAGATACGACAAAAGTAGCATCAGTGAAAGAATTTCCCGTCCCTAAAACACCCAAAAATATCAAAGAATTTCTTGGTCTTATCGGTTATTACCGACGTTTCATCCCCAATCTAGCCAGAATCTCTCGTCCATTAACCCAGTTATTGAAGAAAAATCAATCGTTCGTTTGGAGTACCGAGTGTCAAAACGCATTTGAACATTTGCGTGACCTCTTATGTAAAGAGCCCATTCTTCAATTCCCCGATTTCAAGAGACCTTTTATCGTAACAACAGATGCTTCTTTCTATGCCCTCGGAGCTGTTCTCAGCCAGGGAGAAATAGGTCATGATTTACCTGTTTCATACGCCCCAAAATTATTAAGAGGAGCTGCGCTCAATTATTCTGTCATAGAGAAGGAGTTGTTCGCGATCGTTTTTGCTGTGAGGCATTATCGTCCGTATTTGTATGGAACAAAATTCAAATTAGTGACAGATCATAGGCCATTAGTGTGGGCTCATAAAATCAAAGATCCAGCATCGCGATTACTCCGTTGGGTGTTATCACTGAGAGAACATGAGTATGAAGTAATTTATAAACCAGGACGACTGAATTCTAATGCTGATGCACTTTCACGAAATCCTGTAGAATTATCAAATCTATCAATTGCAAACATCAAGTTTACAAAGAGTTTGTTTATTGAAGAATTAGAAGACTTCC